TTCGCATATCACTACAGTTTTCAGTAACGAACATTCATGGTTTTATACGTAATCGATAACGCTACATTTTCACTAAAGAAAATATCGGATTTTCTTGAATCTATACAAACATTTCGGCTAGCTCATCAACAAGTTTCATTACAAATTACTGCTTATGAACTCACCAACATTATGCTGATATTTTCAAACTGCTTGTATTCTCAGGAAATCAGTAGACAGGTACCTGCTGGGTTTTTGAGGAGTGGCAGCAATAAGAGTTTAATGTTTATATTCATACAAATTATATGATGTAGTTCAAACAAGTTCCAGACGATTTCCAAATTGATGTAAACATTTTTATTTAAGTTTTCATTGTAATGGTTGCGTTGCTATGATTGCTATTATACATTGGTTGTGATGCTATACATGACATCCTCCACCCCCGGAACGTTTCCGCCTTCGGTTCCGGGGTGTGACAGATTAGGGCTAAGGATCTGCTCAAGATTGCATGATAGGATGCTAGGAGAGATGCCTTTATTTGCCTGTTGGTTGAGCTTTTAGAAGCGCATGCTAGAATGTATTTATGATGTTTGATAGATTGACCTAATATGTGATGCCTGGTAGCCTAAGAGGAATTGGATGTTATATTAGACTTGGAATCTTTATTGGTAGCAAGTGAGCTTGACATGTCCTCTGTTTGGTTTGTGGGCTTGGAGTGTTACTGCATGAATGTTGCTTGCTTTATGCTTTGTGGGACTTTTGATGATGTGAATTAACTATAAAGTGAATATGTTAATTCACATGTGGAGTGAAATAGACCTGGGGGTGAAATAGACCCGTACGGTTGAAAAATACCGATTGAGTTGAAATAGACTCGGGGGTGAAATAGACCCGGGGTGAAATAGACCCGGTGCAACCTTGAGTCGACATGTGAGTTGAAATAGACTCGGGGGTGAAATAGACCCGGTACAGCCTTTAACTGACGTATATGTATGGTATGCGGTGTTTGGGGAACTCACTAAGCTTTGTGTTTACGTTTTATGTTTATGGTTTCAGGTACTTTCCGTTCGAAAGGGAAGGAATCAACGTGATTTCACAGCATCCCCCAACACTTTTTTCATTGACTGTTTATAGTTTTACTAAGATGTTTAAATAATATAATCACTTTGTTTGGTTTTGGAACAACTCGATGTATGGTTTTAAGTGTTATTAAAATGAAAATTCTTCTATGAGATTTGGGACGTTACACTTGAAACCTAAGCACATCTGGGGTGTGCGACTGCACATCACCCGTGTCGCCAAGGGTCCGAAATTTTAATTCATTACAGTTTTATCATTAATGTAACACCTTATTTTCGCATTCCAATAGAATTCAATATAAACCGTCGTTTATAAAAATTCGAAGTAGAGATATTTTACTTTTTATCCAAATTAATCTTCATAAACGTGTAGGAAACGTCAGTACGATTTCCGTAGATATATAGAACGCCCGAATCCGACTTCGTATGAAGAAGTTATGCTTCTTCGAAGTTCCGCGATTAAACCAACACAACTCAACATATCGTAAAAAGTGAATTTTAGATAGGTTGCTTATTATTCTAAGTGATCTAGACGAAAGTCATAGTAATCAAAACCGAGAGCGTGTATATAGAGAGCGTCTGAATCTGACTTCGTAAGAGGAAGTTATGATTTTTAGAAATTCCGTGCAGCAGTGTGCACACAGAAATCGAATTTTAGTACGATAGGTTATTAGGAAAAAACAAGAGCTAAAGATCTCGTCCATAGGAATTCGTCTATGTAAAGAGCATCGAGAACGGAGTCTGTATGTGGGAGTTATGCTTTCTACATCAATCTCTAACAATCTAAGCCTATCAAAAATATAAATTTTTGATAGATTGAGAATTAGCTGTTGGGATCCAAAGAAAGTTGTAGATCTCTTCGATCGCATTTTGGAGATATAAAGAATGTCGAAAACGGAGCTCGTATGAAGAAGTTACACCATTTTGAAAAATATGGAAAACCGTGCGCGCAAAGTGCGCCACGTGTGCTGATGATGTGGCACCACGAGAGGGTGCCACGTGGTAAGCCGAAAGTTCCCACCTCCAAGAGACAAGGCGACGTGGCACCAAGAGATTTAGACACGTGGCACCATGAAAATGCGACACGTGGCGACGTTCTAGAAGCTATGACGCGGACGAACCCGAAAGCGACACGTGGCAGAAGGGCACTGGAGCCAGCACAAGTCATATGCGCGGGCGAACCACTATTCATGTGCGGCGTGCATTTCCAAACTAGATAAATACAACTTTATTTTCGTATAAGCTCCTCACCCATTGCCCCTAGAGTCTCTCTATCTCTCTCTTAATACTCCCTCTTGTAGACCCTTTTTCCTTTATTTCTAGCCTGTGACAAAGCCCTGCGAAACCCCTGAGTGCTCATCTAGTTGTATTCTTCGAGTAGGAGGTCCTAAGTCAAAATTCTGCTCACTTATTTCCCAGTTCTCATCTACGATACTCTGTAAGTAAACTACACTTACTCTGCTTTCGTATAAATTATGATTATAATTATAGCCTTCATTAGGAACCTATAAATGCTAGATCCATCATTAATTCCGATTTATAATACTAATTGATTTACTTATGGGAGAGGTGTCTAAAATGGTCACATTAGCTTGGTTGTTGGATTTCAGAAAAAACTATATATCAAAATGGTCTTGCCTCCCAACTGTCTGGCCTGACTGATCCTTATTTGATAGAACTCTCAATATTTATTAGGATTAGTGAAAGATCTAGTTTTAATTTCCAGATTGTCATAAAGATTAATAAGTTAAAGTATTATAGTTTAATACTCGTTCAGGCGCTATCCTTCAGTTGGATCGTCAGCAGAATTGCTTAGATAGCTATCAATCTTCCAGCCATTGTCGATGTGAGTTTTCTCACTATATTATGTGCTCGAGTATATATCATCTATATGTTAGGATATAGTTACCATGTAGATGCCACTAGGCTAGTTCAGTTAGTTGGCAGTAGTATTGGATTATTGCTTGTTGTACTGTTTATATGTATTGATATACTATGTGGGGAGTTGAGGGCGGACCAGCCTTGTGCTGAAGGCCAATAGACTCGAGCGGACTAGCTTTATGCTAAAGGCCAAAGTGCGGTCCAGCTATATGCTACATGCAAAAGGGGGCATACCAGCTTCGTGCTGAAGGCAAGGGCTGACCAGCTTTATGCTGATGGCCATTATGTGTATGTATTGTATATGTATTGTGACATATGATATTTTGGGGAAATCACTAAGTTTCGTGCTTACCCGGTTGATATTAAATGTTTTCAGGTACTCCATCAGTTAATAAGAAGGGCGAAGCTCGACTGTACACACGCATTTGCAACCTGTTTTCACATATATTCTGAAATAAGATAAATGACTTTTGTAAAACACTGTATTTGTCACGAATAAATGAAATATTATTTTTTATATAAAAATGAAAATTTTGCCTTGAAAACGAGACGTTACAATTAATTTGTCGCTAATCATTAATTCATCACTAATTTGTCACTAATCGGTTGCTAATATGTCCCTATCCGTTGCTAATCCAACTTTTAAGAGCTCATTTCTAATTTTCGATCAGGACATTTAAAATGAATGGACCGACCCTGATAGTGGAATAACCGTTTGCTCAACTATTTTTCTAAGCTCCATAAATTTGTTTTTATTCATGACCAGTTTGCGTGTGGAGATGAACAGAAATGGTGTTAGAGGTTTTTTGTTTATTCGTGAAGGTTCGTTTTTATTTCATATGTTAATGTTCTCACAATTTGAGCCTTTATATACAAAAGGTTTAATAATAATAATCACGAACACTATACAACGACTAACACTCCGCTCTCAAGTTCACCAAAATAAAGATAAAAAAAAGATAAAGAAAATAAAGGGAATGATCTTCATTTCCTTTCTCTCCAATTCCTCCCGATTTGGGAGGAGAGTTTCTAAGCAAGATTTATATAAACCTTCCTTTATTTTCTCTTTTATTATTTGCAATAAATAAACTTATGAGCAATGATTTTTTTTCCAATCTTCCGGCTTTCTTTTCTTTTTCTCCTTAAATGAGAGTGTGAAGCAATGCGTATGTGATAAAGCGAACAATAGAAATTTGAAGACTTTTTATCATAGTCACATCACATGTAACATGTTTGTCTTTGAGTCTCTTGATGGTATTATGTTTTCTTATGTGAAGAATTTTTATACTATTCATATTTATTCAAACTCCATACGTATAGTGGAGCAAAAAATATCATACAGAAGAATATCACCATGCATGTATTAAAACTTTGCCAGCTACGATTTTGTGATTGCTAGAATCTTCTAACAACAATCCCTTTTAATAATTGAAGTATTTTAGAGAATTTCATTTGTATTATGTACTCTTTATATGTATATACTATCAATTTTGTTTCCATATATCAAAATTACATGTTTTTGTTACTTACTGATATCAAAATATGTTAACATAATATTTCAAGTATACATCTTCAAATAATTTCAGTAAATCATCAGCCATATATCAACAAAACGTCCAACACAAATCTCATCCCATCAAGTATCATAATGATCATTCTTTTCAACAAATATATATACTTTTAATTATATAATTCTTTTGAATAAAAGCTAATATATGTTAATAAATAATTTATTAGTTACCGTTAACTTGGGATTGGGTTTGGTATTGGCCGGCCCCGCACTCAACGGTCAAGTGTCAAAAAAACATTAAACACGCACTAAACCTCCAAAAAAGCAAACAAAAGTAACCACCGGAATTGAGCTGGCTTTCATTCTATATTATCATATTATACTTTTTTAATAAAATTGTCAAAGTATACACCTTTGCTTAAGTAATTATATTTTATTTATAAGATAAAATTAAATAACATATAATAAGATTGATATATATCACAACAAAAACCAATCGTGTGTCGTGACATCATCATCATCATCATCATCAACTAGACAACAAATATCCAAATCAACTTCTTATTGGCATAGCAACCCACGTTCATTAACGCCGAACCATAACATGGATCATGGATGTGTGAAAAAAGAAATATGTTTGTTTGTGTGTGTATGATAATAAGATAAACCAAACCCAAACACCACCAACTCTGTTTTTTAAATATCCAAGATATGACAAACGTACTTTCTTCCTAAACTCTAGGTATTTTGACCCAAAATGATGATAATAAAAAAAGTTACTGATGTAGTTGTCCTTTTGGTGGAATCTTTGAGGTTATGCCACGTAACTGGTTAGCTATCTCCGTGAAGCTAGGTCTCTCTGATGGCTCAGCCGACCAACACCTCTCCATTAAAGATCTCCATTCTGGGTCGCATGATTCTGGCACCGCAGGTCTAAGTGTGTTGCTTACAATCCCACCTGAATTATTTAATTAAATAAATAATATATAAATATGTTATGTTTGTGTGAGGTGAATTGTGAAATGTGAAATACCGATTATAGCCCCGTAATGTAAGTCTGCGTATGGTTCATCTCCTGTAAGAAGTTCCCACATGACAATCCCGAATGAGAAGACATCGACTTTTTCTGAAACGAGGCTGCTGCTTCCATTTAGAAGCTCTGGTGCCATCCATGGAAGGGTCCCACGTACACCCCCTGAGATTAGGGTTTGTCGTTTCACTTTTGATAGTCCCAAGTCTCCAACCTTATATCACATGTCAAAATACAATACAAACTCTGTTATTCTTATTTGTTATTACACTGGACAGGACAGGACAGAACAGAACAAACCTTGCATATGGGACGGTGTGGATCACGAAGGTTGACAAGTAAGTTGTCGCTTTTCAAATCAAAATGAACAATGTTTTTTCCATGAAGGTATTCCATCCCAAAAGCAACATCCATAGCAATCAAAAGCCGTTTTCGCTTATCCAAATTCCTAATAATTTTTTTTATATATATAAAATATTTCATTACATAAATAAAAAAGATTTTAAAAATATGTTAATATGTTGGTTTAGGTACCTCTCGTTCTTTTGCAAAGCGGTTCTTAAAGATCCATTAACCATATACTCAGTTACAGTAGCAACCGACCCGCCCGGACCATCAAGTACAACCCCATAAAAGGCTACGACATTCGGATGATGAAGATCCGCAAGCTTAATTGCTTCGTTCCAGAAATCCTCTCTCTAATAAAAAGTTTTTATTAATAAATTTAATTAAAAAAAAAAAAAAAAAAACATATTATATTACCATGCGTTCTTGTTCTGAAGCTTTTCCTGCAAAACATCTGTCATTTATTCGTTTGATTGCCACGTCAGTTCCTCTCCACTTTCCATGGTAAACAGTTCCAAATGTACCCGACCCCAGTTCACGCAGCTCTTCAAGATCACTGTTCTTGATTATCTAAAATCACAAAAAATTCGTTAAAAATTTCTATCTTTACATAAATGGTCCCTTTGGTTTGGTGAAAGAAACAGGTTTAGTCCAAAATATCAATCTTTATTGCATGGCAATGGCGTCCTTGTTGTGGTTTTGGTAATGGTTGGTCACTTTGATCACACTGTTAGAAATAATGCGTTAAGTCATTAATGAAAAATAAATTACAAACTTGGTCCATGTGCTTTTCTCAAAATCACAAGTTTGGTCCATCTTTTAAAATCTTTCCAAAATCGTTCTTATGTTTGAACGGAGAAATGGTCCCCATGCTTTACTCAAAATTGCAAGTTTGGTCCATATTTTAGATCTTTCCAAAGTCATCCTTAAGTTTGAACTTCATTGTAGATATGTTCCCCATGCTTTACTCAAAATTGCAAGTTTGGTCCATATTTTGATCTTTCCAAAGTCGTTCTTAATTTGCATTTCGCTGCGGATTTGGTCCCTGTGCTTTACTCAAAATCGCAAGATTGGTCCACTGTTATTTTTTTCAGACTCGAATTTCGTTGTCAGAGGGACTAAATCCACAACAAAATGCAAACTTAAGGACAAATTTTGGAAGATTACGAAAACTGGATACACAGGGACCAAATACTTGACAATAAATAGATAGTAAAAAATGAACAAAATAAAATTAAGACAAAACAGTAGCAAACTGATAAAATTCACAACAGAATGAAACCAAAAGGACCAGCCAAGCAACAAAGAATCGAAAATGGACTGAACCTGCTATTTCCATCAAACCACAGGGACCATTTGTGTAATTTACTCTATAAAGATCAAAGCTTTACTTTACCTGCAAACGACCAAGCCCATCTGAAACCGGAAACCCTAGATTTGTCTTTTCTGGAACCTTTGTTTTCAAATCTTGGTCATCAGTATTACTTGTTTGCCCTTCACAGCTTTTTTTGGTTTCCAATCCACGTTTATTTGAGTCAGGATTTGAAGGTGTTGATGAATGAAGAACAGAAGCAGCTACACCTTCAGCAACTGCTTGAAGTTCTTGTTTAATCAACTCCTCAGCAGAACCTTTTAAAAAAAAAAAAAACAAGATTAAAATGATCAATAAAAGAACATATTTTTTAAAAGAAAAAGAAAAAACATATAGAAGAATACTGACCTATGGTAGAATGACCATGTGACACATCAAAATGTAATTCCAAATTCCCACTTGGCTGTGAATCATGCCTTAACATCCATGGATCTTGATCACTGAAAAGCGAGTTTGTAGTGTCTGGGGTTTCATTAACTCCATTAAACGGATTAAGTGATTCCATTGACAAAGGGTCAACTTCAGTTTTTGACTCAATTTGTAAAGGGTACACATTCCATTCACTGACAGGTGGATTTTCAGCAACAATGGCAGTGGAATCAACACCAGAAAACACAGGACTCCCTTCATTATTACCACCTCCCAAATAGGAATAAGGCATCATGTAACTCGAATCAAGATTCACCTCTTGTCTATTTTCCAAGATTTCCTCTCGCGGATTCTCAACACGAATATCATTGTTAACAAGAACATCATGAGGAGAAGGACGTATTCGTAATTCTTCCATCCTCCCATCAATTTGTCTTACATTATCAGGAAACTCCTTTGGCGACTCATGAACCTGGCTGTGGTCAGAAGTTGGTGAAGGAACCCCACCACCACCACCACCACCACCACCACCAAGGTTTGAATCACCACTAACCCGTTTGCTAACCATGGTTTCCTGCTTTGGTTGATATTGCATTGGGACAATAGCCTGTTGTTGTTGGGCTATACTTGAATGCCCACCATGAGGAAGTTGATTAAGCAATACACCATAGCTAGTTTCGGGTCTCTGAGAAAGAGTCCCATCATTCCCAAATTGCCCTTGAACAGCATACAATGGAGGCATCATTCCACCTCCTTCATGGTCAGCAAATCTTGACCGAACCCCAACTCCATGCATCTGGTCCACAGTGGGTCCGGGTCCAGATACAGGACCCATGTTTGGTTGCATCAGTCTTCTTGCATCCTCTAATCTAAGACTTTGATAAATTGGATTCACATCTGATATGTTTGATCTAGGGCTTTCTTTTTTTTCTTGTGCCATGGTATCAGAATGTGCATGGGGGAGTGCTTTTTGACACATGATACATCCATCAAATCTAGGCACTACTTCTTGATATATCATCTGTTGAGTTGGCACCCAAACATCGGAATAGGACACTTGGTCTTGGGGCGGAATCTGATTCCATCCGTAAGGTCCAGGAATGATTGGTGGTTGTGGTTGTGGTTGAGGTTGAGGTTGATATGTGGTGCAGGTTTGACTTTGATCAGTAGAAAGATTAACAGGGAATTGGTCCATTCGAACCTCTTGTTGCTGGACTACTTGAGGAACTGGAACCGGAACCGGAATTGGAACCTGAACCGGAACCGGAACCGGAACTGGATTTGGTTTGAAACTGACATGGGATGAAGGAATAATCTGCTGTGGTTGGGGATACATTGGAGCAACACTTCGCATCATCTGAGAAGGGTATCCTAATTGGGATGATGATGGTGGTGGTGCCACCTGTACGTATTCTGTCCGGTTGAATGTCCCATGGCGGGGATCAAGATAAGTCTGGACATAAGGTGCTGGCGGCTGAACGGCAGCACAGCTGCCAGGTGGCATAAAATCATATCCCAATTGCCTCTGTTGTTGGACATGAATAGGGAGAGGTGTTCTTTCCAAGATATCAAAATCATGATCAGATTGAGAAGGTGAAGCTGGGACAAGAGCGGGTTTACCAACAAGAACTCCGGCGACAGAACTGCCGCCAGGGGATAATCCGGTCATGGATGGGCCCATGGCCACCACCTCCACCTGATCATGTCCTATGCTGTGATTGCTATCACCACCACCCTCAGTTCCACAAGATTCTGAATTTTGAGTAGAGGAAGCACTTGCTAAACTTTCCTTCCTCCCAGCACCACTGCTGCCGCCACCGGAAAAACCATCTGTGATTCCGTTCACTGCCTCTACATATCTCTGTCCACTATCTTGTAAATCTTTGAATCGAATGGCACTGGAAGATTCAAGGTGTGAAAACAAGAACACTCTTAATTTAGCTGAACCATCGGAAGATCTTTCAACCAATTTATCATACTCATCCATCATGTTTACTAGATCATCAGGTCTAGAAACTGTAACAAGTGCATCAAGATCTTCATCGGGTAATTGATATTTAATAACAAGATTTTGTCCATATGAATCATACATCTTTTGAAGCAACTCATTGAATCTCACATCTCTTCTAAAGCTAATGATCCTAGTATCCCCACCAACATATCTAAGAACACCATCACTAGGTCTAGGCAAAATCTTACCTCCAAAACTACATAAAAACTTAACTTTCCTCCCTGAAGCAGAGTCATCTCCACCTTCATCACTAGCATGATCGGAGGCATTACTACCACCACCACTACCACCAACTGGTGGTAGATTTGGATCGTAAAAACGTGGAGGGGCTAAACTAGTATTATTATACGCATAACCAGGTAACATACCTACCCCTCCAGAAGTCACCGGCGGTGGCATACGTGGTAACCAATTAGCGACTGCTGGAACTACATTCCCATAATTCAAATTAACATAGCCGGCGTCGGGAACAGCCGGCGCTGATGAAGGGTAGTAAACCGGAATTGTTCCAGGGCTACCGGTGCACGGTTCACGCGGGAGAGGATTCGAATTTGGTAGAACTACAGGAGCCCCAATGCGAGATTCTTCACCCACCGTTCTAGCTATATGAATTGGGCGTAAACTATTAGGTAACGCATTCTGATCATACGCCATCTAAGATCTAATCAAGCAGTTTACTTATCTATCTATCTATCTAAACATAAATACTAATCATTCAGTTATCGTTTCGAAAACTGATTTGGGAAAAGGCGGTAGAATTCAACAACGTAAAACTACAACGAAAGAAATTGAGCTTAACATAAACCCTAAAAGAGACTGTATTTGAAAGAAAGAAGAAGAGAAGGAGAGAGGGGTTTGAGCATGCGAGTCGGTGAAGATTTACCACAATATGACAGGCGTCCCACGGCGGTGATGTGGTTTCTATGTCTCTCTCTCTCTCTCTCTCTGTCGTCCCCTTTCTCTCTCACACACAGACACACAGTGACACTATAATCTATTAAGCGAAACCTGCTTCTCTTCTCAAGAAGATGTCATAATCAGATAAAATCCAGAGTTTTTGTGTTCCCATTTTTTAATGATAAAAAGATTGCCTCTGCAATTTCTTGTGATGGAGAAAAACAATAACTAGAGATGGCAACACATATGTTGTTTTTATGTCCCAAAAGGGAAAGAGCTTCTCTTGTAATGTAATTATATAGACAAGAATGACCCTATGGATTTGCGTACGTAAGCACGTGAGGCAAGGGTATAAAGGTAAATTGACGTATAATTGGATATTGGGTTTGGATTTGTTTTTGTAGGATATTGGGTTTGGATTTGTTTTTGGATACAATCATGTGATTGATCTTATTTTAATTGAATATTTGATTGGGTAATTAAAAGAAGAAGTAATAATCTTTTTTTACAATTAGATTGTTTTTATCATATTTGAGTTTGTTTTAAACATAAACAGTTTTTTTTATAATGTTTTATGTATTAATTATTCTTTAAAACAAAAAATATTACAAAAACTGAAAAGTTAAATTTTGAATGCTTAAACATCTTAAAAACAGTTTAAATAGCCTGTGAAACAACTATGAAATTTAATTGCTATTACAAAAATTTCTTCTAACTTTTAATCTGAATTAATTGATTTTCGAATTAACACTAAATTTATAATTTTTGTATATAAAAATCTTTAAAAAAAAATAGATGACCATGACCTACGTTAAATAACTATGAAAATTGATTGTCATTTAGAATTAAGGTTTAATATTTAATATCATAAAAAAAACCTTATCTATTATGTTTTTTTCCAATTAATCCTTAATTTTATATTTTTAAAAAAAATCTTGTATTTTTTTATTTTTTTATTTGGTCCTTTTAGCATTTTTTTCCTGAAAAAACTTTACAAATGTGACTTTTTTTTTGAAGAAATAAAATAAAAATTTGTTAGTTTTTTCAGAAAAAATAAATAGAAAGTAGACAGTTTTTCTAATAAAATAAAAAGTTGAGAGTTTTTATAGAAAAAAAAGGTCTTATTTAATTAAAGAAAAACACAATATGTAATGTTTTATGTTATTAGACCTAGAATTAAACGTGCCTTGAGTTTGTGATAATATGGCAAATTGGCAATGGCAGCAAAACGAGCTTTGTCTTCTTCAATTTGTAAAAGATTTTTTTACCCCTCATTTTTCATGATTTTCTTCAACATGACACCTTTTATAATTGAATATGTGTGAAATACACCTGTTATACAGAAAATTTTACACGGATTGTTTAGGTATTTAATTCTTATGAAATGGACACAATGAAACATTTAAAGTCATTTGTATGAATAGATAATTTGTTGTTGATGGTTTCTATAAGTAACTTAAGGGTGTGTCTTTGGGATTCACTAAACTACAAGGGTATATTATAACATATTGATCTAAACATAAGAGTCAAAATGTGATTTTTTGGGTCCAATCTTTGCGGATGAAACTTAAAGGTTAAGGAGCCTGATAGAAGACACCACGTGTTGTTGAGCAAGATTTCAAGTTTATTTTTTCTAGTACTTGCAAATATTTGCAAGTTAACACGTATTTGATACACAAAACAACTAATAAACGTTTTTATTAATTAAACATACATATATAAATATTTAAATAGAAACATTTATAATTTTACGTCAATTCAAGCTATATATAATAAATGAAATAACTATTAGGGCACCTTTGATTAGAGTTATTTTTTTAGAGATCGATTGGAATTTGGAATCCTGCCGTCCATAGTTTGTAGAGGTACACAAAGTTGTTTTTTTCTAGACCGGATCGGTTATTATGATCAACAAAAGTAAAATCGGATTGACTCCAAATTGGATCATATCCAAACAGTTTTCAAGCTAAAATAATAAAATATATATCCAAACCTATAGGAACCAGTTAGGATTGGTTCAAAAATCTAATTTGAAAAAACCTAATTTTCATTATTTTGTAGCACTTTGTCAAACTGGTTTTTAAGATTTTTCAAAAATCTAATTTGAAAAAATCAAATTGGTTTTTAAGATTTTTTTGTGCACCTCTAATTTTTGGTTGTAATGTATTACAAATTCAATTATGTTAGAATTCACAGATTCCACCATTTGTAGGATTTCTAGTTTCCATCTATGAAATGATGGAATTCAATTTCAATATTTTCTCACTTGTTTGAAACACAAAGATATCAATTTTTTTCAATTTCACATTTATTTTTCTTCCTTATTATTGTCGGCCCACCGCGAATAATGACACTATCAAAGGATAATCACCTTCACCGCAAATAGCAAAACTATCGCATGCTAACCACCCTCTTTACCACTATCCTAAAACCTTTAGGCCACTATCACCATTGCCTAATTTTATGCAATTCATACATGTGTGTTTATTTTATATTTCTATCTTATATGATTAATCTAAAACTTTCTATTGAAATACACATAAATATTGACCAATTGTGAGATAGGCTTACCTCTCACCCCTCTTTTCGTATTCCAGTCACTACGTTACAACATTGTTATTGATCTTATTCGCCTCGCGAGTACTCCCCTAAATATGCATCCCGATCTCTCCACATAACGAGATAGACAACAATGCAGTTTTTTAACGAGCAAACTTCTCCTTTGCTTAAGGTCAAGTGGTATACCGAGCACGAGGACGTTCGTGGTTGAGCTGGCCACGAACAACGGGCGTGCACACTACCCCGTTGTTTCGTGGTGGCTCGTTGTCGTTGTCTCTCGTGCTCGGCACAACAGAAACGCACGCCCAATCAACTCGAAGCATTCCATTTGAACGTTGCTATAGCCGTTGAACGGCTAGTTTCTTTAAAAAAAAATTAAACAATTTATTTACCTATAAATACAACATTTTTACTCCTTATTTTTTACACAATTCTTTTCTTTCTCTATACACAAACTACACACTACATCTTCACAACCAAAAAATCATGGATCCCAACCAAAATACCCCTCCAAACTACAGAAATCGCAAACCCGATAACGTTTTTGCGTTAGATACAACACCTCGCCAATTCCCGACTATGGAGTCACCTCAATGCGGTTTTATCAATCTACTTCAAACCGGTTCTCCTATCCAACAAACACCACTTTTCCAACAACAATATCAACCTTTTCCGACTTTCTAACAACAACAAATTTCACAACAATACCAACAATTTCAACAATTCCAACAACTACAACAACTCCAACAACAATCGGCACAACAACAACAACCACCAAGCTCACAACCACCACTTTTGCCAGATTTTGTTGCAGAAACGCAACCTTCACCACCACCTCAACCAAAAAAGAAAAAGGAAAAAAACCGGCCCGACCCACTACCGCCCAAGAAAGGGTCCCATGGACAAAAGAAGAAGAAAAGTTAGCGGAGGCATGGGGGGCGGCTTCCGAAGATCCAATTGTAGGAGATAGTCAGCCTTACAAAAGTTTTTGGGAGAAAGTCCGAGCCATTTTCTACGAGTTAACGGAAAGTGAAACTCGAAACGCCGATCAAATTACGTCGAAATGGCGAGATATTCGACTAAAATGCACCGAGTTTGGAGGAATCTACAACAACCTCCTAAACATACGCAAAAGCGGCCCGAACGATTTTGATGTTTTCAAGGCGTCAATTGAGCAATTTGAAAAAACAACGCCAACACGCAAAGCTTTTCAGTATATGAAATTATGGCTAAAATTGAAAGACGCCCCAAAATGGAAAGAGCAAACGGAAGGAACTTCGCAATCTTCCGGTTCAAAGCGTTTGAGAAACCCTGATGCAACTTCCCAACAATCCGACGGCCGAACACACATCTACATCAACGATGATCCGCTAGATCTTGAAAACGACCAACCTCTTCGTCGGCCCGTTGGAAGAAATAAAGCAAAAAAAGTGGCTTCAACATCTTCGAATTCTAGTGTTATGGATATGTTTGGCGATAAATTTGATCGATATGTGCAACTTAAAGAAACGAAGGCCGAGGTGATGACTTGGATAGAGCAAAAAATGATCGAAGCACAAACATAATTTCAAGAAGCACAAGCGACGATCCAAACAAAAACCGATATGGAAATCTTGAAAATGAAAGCGGACGACCTCGAGGGCGAAGACTTGGAACTTTTCCAAGCAATGAAAGAGTCGGTGCGAGCCCGACGTAGGCGTATGGGGTAGTTTATTTTATTTATGGTTGAAATTTTTAGTTTTTTTTTATTTTTTATTTTAAGTAATGTAATTTTTATTTTTATTGTTAGTTTTATTTTTTTTTCAATTAATGTAGTTTTTATTTAATGTAATTTTGTCTTTTAATTTAATGGAAAACTAGTATTAAAAAAATGATTTTAATGTATTTTTGAATTAAATTTAAATAAAAAAATGAGGTGGAGTGGTGTGTTAGTGGTAGGTATCTCATGCTAGTGGTAGGAGAATGTGGTGCTGATGTGGCACCCAGCACATATGTGGTATGTGGTGGATATAACGGATGGTCTAACTTAGTAGAGTTGTCTTGGAAACACAAAAACAATCCCCAAAATGTCTTTTATATTTCTCACCAACAGTAATCACCATTTTATAAAATATTTCACAAATAACGTTTAATCAATAAAAATGAACTATTATTAAGGTTGTGTTTGAACGTTTGTTTTTTATCTTATTGTAATTTAATGTTTGTAATAAGTAAAAATAATTTATAATAGTTTAAAAACAAATTTATGAATTATATTTTTTATAAGTTATTTGAAATAACTTTTAATACTTTAGTTTATAAATTAAAAACAAAATTTTAAGCTATTGTGTTAAATACAGTTTAAATTTTGTTTAAAAAATTTACAAGACAAAGAGAAAACGTTTAAAAAAGTACTCGTTTTAGGATATATTTAAAATTCAAACGGGGAAATAGATGCAAGAAAGTTGTTGGTTTTACATGATGAGACACTTCATTATTTATTCTATTTTTTTTTATTGATGAAACACTTCATTAATTAATATGAGTGTTTTGATACGGAAAAAAGATTGATGTTTATTGTTTATTGCTTATTTTCACCACAATAAGCTAAGTTTAAATGTTTGGATATGAATCCTTAAAAATCAGCTTATTGTGGTAGAGATAAGCTAAATAAACTGATTTTAATAAGCATCTCCCCAATTGCTTA